GGAACCGGTCTGTATGTGGGATCCGAACCCTCGGGCGGGAGGGCTGCCGCGCTTCCCAAGCGGCGCACTTTTCCAGTGCGCCACCGGGCCGGCCCAAGTTCCTGCATTCTGATTTGGTATTCTCCACTGAGCAAAGTGCCAGGCACATAACTAGTGCACAGCGACTGTCGGATGCCTCAAAATACCAGCCTCCTCCTATGGATGTTTGAAGAAAAGCCGAATCTAGACTTCTGTTCCTTTGGTCACCAGTGTCCACTTTCCCCACTCCAAACAGTCACCACACCTCTGCTCCTCCGTAGAGTTCTGTCTGTTACAGACAAACATGCCCATACTTTTGGTTATTTTGTTTTAAACTGTGGGCAAATTCTTAAAGTCTCTAGGCCAGCCAGTGGCTCCCCCAACCTTAGTCTTGGGCCTGCACAGGGTGGAGGCAGGTCAGCAGCCCTGAGACTCCATAGGGTCAGCCCCTCCCTCACAGGACTCCCTTGTGACCCAGGAGGGCTTCCCACCGTGACTGACTCTTCTGGCTACACTGGCCTTTCCCCCCTCCCACCTCTGCAAAGAGAAAAACGGAGAATACTCCCTTCTCCTCACCTCGTCCAAGCCTCCCAAGGCCTCCTGTCACCCATGTGCACATGCTCAGTGCACTCCCTCAGCCCACAGCATTCCCCACTGGCTCACATCCATGGCAACCTGCCTGGCAACCAGGCGTCAGTTGGGCAACTGTCAGAAGGGCTGAGGCTGAGGTGGAGGCCAGCAGTTTGGGGCTGTGGGTAAGTCCCTTTGCGGTCATACCTGTGGACCTGGGCAGGGGCAGATCCTAACAGGGTTCTGGGGGAACTGGAGCAGCGGAGTTTGATCTTGGGCCCTGGGTGGCAGCAGCTGTAGCTTCTGAACAGGTCTGTGAAGGTGATAGCGCTGACTGAGGCCAACAAGCCCTGTAGATGACAGAGTTAGGAGGAGAATCTACGGCTTGGGTTAGAGGTCAGTTTGTCTTCAGGGTTAGGATTTGTGAAGGGAAGAATGGTCTTACCCCTAGGAGTCCCTGCCACTGGGGAGGAGGAAGGAGGAAAAAATTAACATATATTGAGCTACTTTCATGCCAGGTGCTTTCCATATATTATCTCTGGAGCGGAAACTGATGCGCAGAGTTCAAGTGGGCACGCAGCCAGCTGGCTGTGAAGGATTTAAAGTCAGGTTTCTCTAAAATCACAGCTCTTGCTCTTTCAACCCCTCCCCTGTTCCCTGAGCTGAGGTTCATGCGGTGGGTAATTCAAAGAGGAAACTCCCAGTATCTGTTGGAGCAGTTGGGGCCCGCCAAGGACACTGTCCCCAGAGACTCAGCTAAGGCCAGCCGAGCCCTGCCCCACCCAGGTGTCCTCTGCTGGGCTGTGGGCTGCAGCTCAGGTAATGGTGTGCTTGTTCTCAGGTGGTTTCTCTAAAGGCCATGGAATACTCCACCAGGCCCAGGATGCCTTTGGACAAATACTGCAGTGCGGCCACAACCCTGAAGGCCCCTGCCTGGTACTGTGCTGCTCCACCCTGCGAACTCTCCTCTACCTGCCCCTTTGCCCTCCAAGTGCCCTGGCTCACCAGGAGCAACCCCCCCGCGAGGTACCTGTGTCTGCCCCTCTGGAGGAAGTGGTGTGCCTCTTTCTTCTTCCTTTGTTCCGCGCTCTAGATGGTGTACCACAAGGGAGAGAACTTGCCTCCTGGGAAGGGTGAAAGGGCCTTTCCTGTTGGCCTGTGATTTGCGTGGGGTATAAGTATATTACCCCAGCCTAATCTGTACTCCTGGTGACCTCCGGTGTTGACCTGGCTTTTGTCCCACCTTTTAGCATAGTGGTGGATGTCGCGGTGGGCATGTATGAGAGGAGGCGGTCAGGGATGACCAATTACAAAGTTTCTAGTTCATTTTCTCTTCAACTAAAGACTTACTCTGGCAGCACATGAGAAATTAGAGTTTCTGCAACCAGCAACTAAGAATCTCCAGGTCCCTCTTCAGATTCCCTCAGCATCCCTCATTGTCCAGGATTTTCCTGAATAGTATCCTGTCTGCTGTCTAAAGTGTGAGTTCAAGAGGGCAAAGAACCTCAGCCTATATGCACCTACGAATTGTGTAGGTTCCAGGGACTCATGTCCGTGCTACTCAATTCAGTGTGCCCAGATTAGGGACATGCCAGCTTGAATGGTCTTTAATTGCTCCCTTTCTGGACTCACCTATGTGGCCCATTCTGTTCAAGGCCAGAGTTAAGCATCTTTGTATTCCGGCTTGTTCAAACCCTGATTCAACAACTCCCCCGCGATCCTAACTCATTTCTCTCAGCAACTTTTTCTTTTTCACAGAATCTTGGCTAGGTTTTAATCTTGCAGAGATTTTTGTTTTATGTTAGTATTTTAGGTCATTTGGTCAGTAATTTGGAATCTTTTATTTCCTGTTTCTCTGTTTTGATTTTTAATTGGACCTATCCCACTTATCTCATAGCCCCCCCAGCCTTTTTTTAAGAAGAGCTTTTCCTGGCATTGACCCCTTTTCCAGCCTGTTTCACCA